TTACCGGCCTGGGAGGGTTTTCTACGGTCGAAAAATGACCTACTTGTCGTGGAATATTGCCACAGGATCATTTTTTTTTTCTACGTAAAAATTTGACCCCCTGGTCAATATTCTACGGGGGTCACTCTTCGTCGTTACACCGGCAAACTAGGTCTTGCTCTCAACGCCTCTGTATACATCACTGAATCCCAACATCACTCAGCAGGGGAAACACACCCAATTTCACTCAGCATTGGTTATACTATAAGCACACATCCAAGATCACTAAACATGGGTTAACTACTACGGCGTCCAGACCTCATCTGACAAATTCTAGCCGACACCCAGTATAAATACTACAGTAACCGGCCAGATTACTCAAACGGGTTCGACGAGTATGTAATGGATATATGCCGAATACTGTTCTATATGTAAAATTATCAGACTGTTTGAGGCCCGTTAGGGCCAAAAACAGTCTGATAATTTTACATATAGAATTGTATGAGGCATATATCTTACTTAAAACATTGCTATTTAAATGTCCAAAAGTCACCTGAAGGAGTCCGATAATTACACAATAGGAGTTCAGGCATCAATAGTTTTCTACCTGAAACCATCTAATAAGTAGATAAAAGAAAAGAGAAAGTTTTTTTTTCTTTAGACAGTAAAATCAGTGAGTGAACTCTTTTGTTTCATTCATTCAATGGCAGTCGTTTGGCTTAGCAGGAACTATGTACAGTGGTCAGTTGATGAATGATTTTTTTATGATACGGAATATTTTTTTTATTAAATGCATTTGACATTGATACAGATACAGTGTTGGATGATATCTTCAAAATGCATTTAAAGTAAAAATGCGGATTTTTATCTAAAATTTTTATTGGATCTTGGGTTTTAAAAGTGCGTTCGTTGGCGAAAAAACCTCGTTAAATGAAGAGATTCGCAGACTGCTTCTTTATCAGAAATGGATTTAAATTGGCTTATTCACAGTGCTGTATCGAAAATGCTTTGCATAAAACCGAATGGAAAGTGTTACTTTTGAGGAAGATTAAAACTCCAGTTTCTTCTTGGATTTGCTATTTTTAACAACTTAATTTCCGCGTTTGCTTTCCCTGACTTTTTTCTTCCTAACTTTTTTTGGTTTCTGGACAAATTAAACCTTGATTTCACTCTAGTTGTTGTTTTTTAACTACTGTCTGATTTTGTTATCACTGCCGTCCGATAATATATTATTGGACTGCTAATTACCGTATTATTATCGGACGGCTACAGGTAAATTTTTAGACTGCAAGAACAAAGGCATGACGTCACAGCAATGTTTTAAACGTAGTTAAATATAGTAACACGCACAATTGCAAGTCATTGACCAATAAAGCGTAAATGAAACAAATGATAACTCCTAATGCCAAAATGAAGACAACTCTTACCAATACAATCAAACTAATATTAAACATTGACACAATGTCACTTGTGACTTCCCCCCCCCCCCCACCTCCCCGTGTCCTTGGAAAAATGTTCAAAGATTATGGAGTATTGATGAACAAGAATTATTGTTGCTTATTTATATGGAAAATACATGCAAATATAGAGTGATCAGTTAATTTATCTTGGCCTATTAATATAAAGTGTTCAAAATGCTTGAATTGATTACAAATTGAGTAGATTTCAATTTCTTTTATTGTAGATCTAGGGGCAGGTTAATCTAACTGTATAAAAATACCACAGAATCCGAATATTTTAGTGAGCAATGCAGAGGGGGCTTTTGAAGTTATCTCCCCCCCCCCCCCCATTATCTGTAATCGACAATGAAAATGAAATTTATCATATAATTACAGCTAACAAAGGTTAAAAAATAGGAGTTGAATTGAAATATGTGTCATTTCTGTTGAAATCGGCAAATTCAGTTGCATTTGATCTTTCCTGAAAGGGACACAGGAGTAATTTAAATTAGCCAACTGAACAAAGTAGACTTGTTAAACTTGCTCAAGCTGTTATTTTATGATGTTAAAGTTTTGTGAATATACGGAATTAATAAAACATATTTTAAATTTTAAAGAGTGTATCTATTTTTCTGATTACAAATTTAATTACATGTATCAGTATTGTCAATTCATATCAAAACTGATAATTTTTTGTGTGTGGGTAAGTTCTAAACTTCTAATTAATTGTGAAAATGAGAAACTACATGTAATTATAATTGCCCTGCTTTTGCCCTTTAAGGAAGGGTCTACTGTCTCTACCTAGCGGTATACCTGGATCCCATTTTCACAACTCCAACACCTACAAATCTCCGAATGAATTTCCAATATGTTGCCCTAGTGAGAAGACAATTTTAAAATATGTTATACTAGACTATTTGATACTTAAATTTACAAGCAACTTTAAATTCTTATAAAAAAGAACAGTTGATACATTCTTGTATTAAAAAATTAATTGAAAATTTAATTTAAATGCAATAACGTTTAAACTAATAAACCAAAATATCTCGTCTTCATAGAAAAATAGTCTTCCAAACGGTAATTGAATCAACTAGTACTAGTACATCACATTTATCTTCTAACTATACGAACAGTTATGAGGGTTCAGCGTTATGAGATATCTTTCTTTCTTTGTTTGAAATATGTTGATTTACTATTGTAACCATTGCAGAAAATATATACATAATCCACTTACGCGGGTTATGTGTTTTTTCTGCAATGGTTGCAACTGTTAATTCCTTATTTACAAAGAAAGAAAGTATTTTTGATTAAATTATCCCTATGAATTCTGTTTTTATTCTTTAATTTCAATACCCTCAATACACTAACATTTGAAATTAATTGGCCAGTATATCCCGTCTTTAAAAAAATAAATAAAATACTAATTGAATAAACTTGTATTGCATTTGTCTCCTAATTATACGATTAGTTTATACAGATATATATACACTTGTGTATCTCTCTATTATATAAACATACAGAGAGCAAATATCTTCATACCTGTATGAAGTTTTTCGAAGGTCATTGGTCATTACGTGACCTAATCACACAGCGCAGTAACATCTACATAAAAAGACCTACTCTACTTAGCAATATAGCATGTTTTTCATGCATAAAAATGTACAAAATACCCAAGTAAAATAATAATTATTTTATTTACAATGTAAACGAGTAATTAATAGTTCTTGATCGATTTTACGTAGAGAACAGAAAACTACGTGTTATAAATTTCATGTCTGAGCTGCAAAGTCTCAACGTTTACCATTATTTTTCTTGTAGACCTCTGAATGCTATATTTTTTTTTCATTAAACTTTACTCACAATAAATTTGAAAATCTGTTGGAAAATATCAATGTAATGCAATCACGCCACAAACAGCTGACAAACACTGCACTTCGGAAGTTCAGTAGGCACACCTCCATCATCGAGATCGTTGTCTTAACAATGTAAGCTGTCGCCGGTGTCTCCGTGTCAACATCATAATAAATATGCCTTATTTTAATCGTAGATTTTATGTTTCTGATCAAATTTTAAACTTGATTCCAAGTTAACTGGTCCTTACAAGTGTCTCCATCCATTCCTTTCCGACCGAATTTCCTCCAACTTTTAATTATCAAACATTGGACGTGTATCTTGTGTTTTTTTTTTAACATCGAATATGGGTTCTCACGAATACAAAAATTCCCAGACACCAATATGCTCACTATAATTGATCACAAGTAATCTTTCACAGAATATTCACTTCAAAACAGAATCCTTTGCCAGATGAATTTGAAGCGTAACCGCTTTTCAAGCCGATTTACACCTTGCGTAATTTGTCAAAATCTACGACGAACAGTTAGTGCAATATTTATATTCGATTATATTCGATTGTCCGTCTCAAATGTATATTTAAGTAAAAAATAACAAGTTTAAAAACTTCACTGGGGAATGAAGTGGGTCGATACATGATCAAATCTTCTGAGAAGGCCTTCGGCCTTCACAGGATTTGATCACGTGACCGACCCACTTCATTTCCCAGAGAAGTTTTTAAACTTGTTATTTATTTCTTAGATAAACATATATAAAATGTCTTTCTTTCTTAAAAATGTAAGAGATGAATTTAATTTTTGAGAATTCGTGAGAACATGAACTACATGTACGACGCTTCACGCCGGCATATTTCATGAAGCGCGTTAGCGATTAATTATAAATATCATGCAGGCGTGAAGTGTTACAAGTACCTCATGTCCTCATGAATTCTCAAAAATTAAATTCATATCTTATATTTACATTATTTTTCTAATGACTTGCCACATATTTTTGTCATTCAAGGATCATTTTTGAAAAAAAGTTTGCACTATTTTTTTTTAACTTCAATCACATCACAATGGAAATATTCTTACTCACCCCATGGTACATGTAGTTCATGAGAACATGACCTTTTTCTAATTTGCAAGGAATCTTAAGGAAAAATATTTGGAAATGTAAATATACGGGGATTAACGATTGCAACCATTGCAGAAAAATTACACAATCCGCTGACACGAGTTATGTATTTTTTTCTGCAATAGTTGCAACCGTTAATTCCTGTACATTTATTTACAAACAGACAATTCTATTGTTTAAATAATCGTTATGAATTGTGCCTTTATAATCTTTAACTTCAACAACCTCGCCAATACAAAAGCCCAAACATGTATAAATAAAGGTCAAGTTTCTGCTTGTTATAAATTTTTGCTCGACATTTAAATTCCATTTTAATTGTTATCCACCATGTTAGATCGTTAAACACATCGGAAATAATCTTCATTTCGAAATAATTTTAAGGTAAGTAAATAGAAATATTTTAAACGTAAAAGTAGTGTTCACTGAAAATCGTTTTAAAATTCTTGTATTTAAAAACATAAATTTTTAGTTAGAAAACTGCAACATGTAGTCCACAATACATTGTATCACACATTTAGTTTTCTACCCAATGGAGTGTAACAAACCATTTCAGGTTGCTATCAACAAAGTGATTCAGTTTATGATCAGTATCGATTTATTTATCTGCAGAATATAGAATCAATTGCTTCAACAAGAAAAAATCATGGCAGAACCTGAAGATTCAATAACACATGACGTAATGATCAGCTACGATTGGGAGCACCAAGACTCGGTCCTAAAAATCCGAAACAGTCTGAAAGAAAAAGGCATCAAATGTTGGATAGATGTAGAAAATATATCGGGTTCGACGTTAGAAGCAATGAGCGCTGCAGTGGAGAATTCTGCCATCTTTCTCATGTGTTACTCCGAGAAGTATTACGAGAGTGAAAACTGTCAGTCCGGTAAGATATACCGTTTTTACAAATAAAAAAAAAAGGGGGGGGGGCAACAAGCCTTATCATTTGACTAAGCAATAAATATAAGCCCAAGGCCCTGATTTTAACAATATTGTCATTTTGTAAATTGTGAAAGTAACCGGGTGGCAGTAAATACAAAATTTATATCATGACAATAATATGTTGACGGTGCGACCGTTAGAGCGAGTGCAGATACCTTTCAGATTTCATTACTTAGATCGGGCTCGTCAAACCGCACGTGACATTTGCTACGTCTAGACTTTGACGTCATATGACGTCGTATATATGTTGCATTAGCCTACCAAAACTAAGGGTGAACAGTGCTAATTTCAATCAAGAAAGTTTATTATATTATTTGTCTGCTGTATATCCATTAAATCAAGGTGATTTTATTTTTTTGTTGAATTTTATTGCTACCGCGAGAACGTAGTTTCCGACGAGATGCAATTCGCTAAGCATTGTGGGACCACAGGCAATTGCGGAAAAAAATTCATTTGGATCAATGTGCAAAGTCCGAATTTTCTCTTCGCCCAGGCGTTGCTTAAAGAGCTCGCAGTGACGAGCGGCGCTTTGCGCCGCTCGCTGCGCTCGCTATTACACGAGGTACGTGTGTTATAAGATGGATGTCTGCATACATGGTTACTTAACTTAGTAATATGTTAGACGGTGCGACCGTTGGTGAGGGCGGAGCCATCAAGTGAACATTTCTACATTTTATTTTTTAATGATAAATCAGTAAATCAGAACAAAGACCTCAGTCCTTTTAAAAGAAGCTTGAGTTCTATTTTTCATTTCAAATAAAGAAATTTAAGGATTTTTTGGTTTTATAAATCTGGAAAATTTTTACTAAGATATTTCATCATGAATTGCCTAGCCAGAGCACTCAAAATCAAATAGCATAACGGGGAAAGAGCATGCACTGGCACTGGACCAGTCAAGGATTCAACCAGATAAGAAGACATTTTACTCTTTCAGTAAGAAACCGTGCTATTACATCCAACTAGAAACTTGTTTTGACTTTGAGATGTTTATCAACTGGTAAAATGCAGTATAATTGTGCAATGTTGATGACAAAGTTGTATCAGTTGTGATGTAATACACATGGAACTAAATACCTCCATCACAAAAGAGTGCGCTATTTGTTCGGGAAATTGTATGCGTTGCTAGGGTGACCTAACTTAAGTGCTCTAATTTTCTCAGAATTAAACTTAGCTAAGAATTGCACTTAGAATTTATATGAATATGACTTAAGAATTTTTTCTTAGCTAAGAATTTATTTTATACTTAAGTGTGAAACTTAGCACAAATCTTAAGTATGTTTATGAATCCCAGCCTAGGGCTGTGTATCGTGAGGGCTAAAAGTATCAGCATTGCAAAATTTCTGAGAATTATTTTCTTAATTTTAATGGAAAAAATGTAGAGTAAATTAAACGTTTCTGCATTTTTTAAAAACTAATTTAACTCAAAAAAATTTTTTTTCAGATATTAAAATGCGAAAACTCATCGTCGGAAACCCACGGTCGGTCTCGCTTCTCTTACCTTAAGTATTTAGTACTACTCAACAACATTGAACTCTTTACATGGATTACCATGGGTAATGTCAAATGAAGATTCTGTTTTTTTTAAGCCAAGAGAACATTAAACTTTATTACATGTCATGTGTTTTGCAGTCCCTCATGTACATAGGAACAAGCAAATAATCAAAGACAAAAATAAGTAAATAAATAATTAATAAAATAAATTAATTAAATTTGTAATTAATAATAAATAAATAAAAATAAAATTAAAAAAAATTAAAATGCATATCCCTTCCCCTCTTCTTGAGTTCATACCAGTATATTCAGTAAAGCTTTTCATGCAATATTTTACCACTAAAACATTTTTTAAAATGTTTTATTCAATAGGAAAATTATACTACATGTATGTCACAAAAAAATCTGATATTTCTAGTTTGTGTTTTGAAAATAAGACATTCGTAATTAATAAATTTTATTAACAAATAAATTAGAGTTGTTTCTTTTCCCTAAAGTCTGGTGAAAGGGGCCACAGAAAAATCCGCCCCTCCATAGTGCGTAGTACGCAGTCTAGACAGTGACGTCACTATAATTTGTTAAACTGAGTTTTTTTTGTTTCACCAAAATATAGTAAGGTATATTAAAAGGTGAATAAATCTGTTTTTAAAAAGAGAGTACGCACATGAAATATGAATTATTACAGGTTGTTAAAAATTCAACAGTTTCCGCTGATACATTCAATGGATGGCGTCACATGTCAGGTCTATGACGATCGAGTGCAAGTTAGTTGAAAACGAAAGTAACAAAGACGTGTACTATAAGGGTGTTTTTTGATTATTGATAAAATTTCATTAACGCAGGATTGGAATTAAAATTACGATTCTCCAGCATCTCGTTTATGCGGGAATTTGTCGCGAGATTCAAGATGGAAAAAGACTATGGACGCCATATTGGCGACAGGGTTCTCAGTTCCATAGGTATTGTAATAAGAATATAGTTTACAATAGAATTCAATATATTTTACATACATTTTACATATGTTACCTATAGGGAGAGCTTCGCTCTCACGGGCCCTTCGGGCTCCGCCCTCTATTATAGTATACTAGTACTCCATTTTCACTGTAAACTTTGATGATTTCATTCTGAGTATTAGTTGGGGGGGGGGGGGATGAAGCAAACCTGCCTGATCTCTTTGAATGCTGCTCAACTGATCCTCATTTACGTTTCTTCATTATATACATGCATATTACAACATGTATGTCTTTGGGTGTTGTTTATCTTAAATGACTAAAGTACATCAATTCTTAATGAATTTTAAATCTTTGTGTATCCATAATACTGTATCAAAAAGTATTTATTTTGTTTTGTTTTGTTTTTTTAAGAGGCAGAATATGCAAGGCAGCTTAAAAAAGACATTATACCGTGTAAAATGGAGAGGGGGTATAAGGCAAAAGGATGGCTAGGGTTTATTCTTGGCAGCAAACTTTTCTTCGAGTTTTCTGGCAAATATCCTTTCGAACAGAAAATAGAAGAACTTGTAAGGGAAATCCGCGCCCATCTCCAGGAAGATAAAGACGCCCCAGAAACACTGGCGACAGATGTACAGAAGTCACTCAAAATTGACAATCCTCCGCCTAAAGCCACTAATAAAGGTGCTGGTAAGTACATTAGGAGAATTCACAATCTTACCTAGAGCAAAACATTCTTTGAATATAATCGAGTCTGATGAGCTGCAACAAAGCCAATAATGGATCAATGTACACGACGAATTTAAGGGAACCTGTTCTGAGCATTACAAAATTTGTGATGTGTTAATAGATTCTGATCTAAATTAAAGAAACTATTTAAAAACTTATTGCAATACAGTTTTGTCAAAACTTGATCAAAAAATGTCTCCAGTTTCAAATTTTGAATTTGCTAAGGGGGAGAGACAAAATTGCAATTCTTAACATAAAACCGACTTAAGTTATCCGATTTTTTAACGTTATTTTTCAGGGAGCTCAAAAGTCTTATACAAAATATCAGTTTCTGGAACGGAAGGTCTTCGACATATTGCATTCCAACCTCCTGAAAACTATTGGATTGGCTATGAAAACAAGGTTGCCTTCATAGATAAATCCGGCAACAAGCTGAAGGAAATCCAACGATACAGATTCACATTTGGGGCACATTCAGTTACACAGGACGGCGTCCTTGTGTACCTGACAGGAATTTCAGTAAAAAAACACATATCCGAGTCAAAATCCGAAAACTTCATCACCGGAACTAATGTTGACGGATGGAAGGCCCGAAGCATTTATGCTAGTCATCGAAACGGTGACATATTGATTGGACTTCAAAATGAAGAAAAGGGTATAGGCAAAATTTCACGTTACAACAAGGAAGGGGAATACCAGAGCACGATAGAACGTGACAGCAGCGACAGTCCATTGTACACATGGCCTCGCTTCATTACGGAGAACTGCAATGAGGACGTCGTTGTTTCGGATTGGTATGGGGGAGTTGTCGCTACTAATAAGGATGGAAAGCATCACTTCACTTACAATATTTCTATCCCCAGAGCTGTGGTTACGGACTCTAAGGGGCGTATATATGTGTGTAACAATACACCAAAGATTCACGTTATTGATCAAAATGGAAAGTTCCAGTCGTATATTCTAACGGGCTTAAAAGACGCTTTTGCGCTTTACATCCACGAGGACAAAGAGTTGCATGTCGGTTTTAATGCACAAAAAAAGATAACTGTCTATAGAATAACGCAATAGAAACGTAAGACATTTACGTACCATTTGCATAAAGTTGTATACGTATCCAGTGTACCTGTATGAGATTATGACAAGCAAAAGCTTAGAAAAAAATATATGAAAGGCCTTGTGAAGTGAAACAAAACAAGAAAACATATGTAAAATAAAATCATAAATCAAAAAAATCATCACAGGATATCCCGCCTTTTTCATTTGTCTATTGAAAGAACTCGGGAAATGAGGCGTTATTTCTTTATTAATTCAATAAAATAATTCTTTCATGACATGTATAAAATCATGAGTAAAATATTTTGAAAACTTGCTTAAACTAAGTCTTAATTGTTGTTATTATATTTCAATTTCATTTTTCATCAGATAATTATCGATTAATGATTATATAAAAAGAGTTGAAAATAGGCACTCCCCAACCTGGGAGTGTGTAAGATATGAATTTTCCGGATAAAAAATGCATGGTGAATAAAAATTGAAAAGTTGCTCAACAAGTAAAAATTGTTTTGAATATGCTATAGCTGCGAATGACACAAAAATAATTTTTTTCTACATCTTGCACCGCGCCGTGCAGCATAGCCTACTCTGCAGAAATCATCGGCATTATCACGTGTCAAAGATCCAGGATATCAGCACGTGGTTCATCTTGAGAAGCCTACAATTTCATTTTGATGACATAATTTTTATCATTTATCACTGCCTTTATTACATCGATGAATCAATTTGATGAACAAATTTACTAAAAATTTTATTTATTTATTATTTTATTTTATTATTTGTTTAGTTATTTATTTATTTTATTTATTGTTTTTTATTTGAAGACAGTCTGAAATAAAAATGATCCCTCTTTCAGCTTTGAATACCTTGTGCTTTCCTTGGATGCTTGATTGTGAAAGTACTTTTTGAAACGTAAATTTTGTTTAAGCGGTCGATTTGAAGCTTTGTACTTGTTTACATAAATAATTAAATATGTATCTACATGAAGCTTTTACTGGAGGTTTTACACACGTCCCAACAAACTTTTTTTTTCTCAGATGTCATTTTAAATATTGAAAAAAAAAAATAACATGTAACTGTTATGGAATGGTTTAATTCTTTAAAAAATTGTTTATATTAAGAACGTTCAAGTATGTAACATCGTACAGTGTATACTTTTGAGCATTATTCATCAAACAAAAACTGAAGCATTTCCGGAATAACTTTTATCAAAAATTTGTCTTTACACAAGGTTTTATACAGCTGGAGGTACTCTTCCCCTAGAGCCCGTAGACGGATAAACATGTCCATTATTTTGGCAAGGCGTCTGCCTCCTGAATTCCCGTGGGTTTCCTCCAAAAGATTTCCGAGCGTCTCTATCAACGTAGTCTGAATTTTCTCAACTTTGTCAGGTTCTTCTAAAGAACATCTGTCTGTGGTAATAGAAAAACAAGATCTCTGTGTTCACGATTTAGAATAACATATTTGTGCAAAAGTAATTTCGTCATATCCTTTCGCAAAAACTCTTAACATTATATACATGTAGGGTTAACGCAATGTTGCCCAACTAACTGAGTTTCAAATAACAATAAAATCTTTTAAAGATATACACGCTATAACTTGGATCAGTTAAAAATAAAGTTGGAAATTATTTATTTTGTTTACCAAATAAAGTTACGAAAATACTGTAAATTACTTTGAAAATGAACGCGTTATAAAGATCTCAAATTATAATTATTTATTTTCCTACTAAGAAAGTAATGCCTCTATATTTAAATTCATGCATCATGTGACACGGTCGCTACTTTTAGAACGATAAACAAAAATGGCGTCAAGAAAACGAGGTAGGCCGTTTGGTATACAAATAACTTTTGACATTGATGGCACACATCTAATGCTTAATAATAATGATCTTTTGAAACAACCAGTATTAACCATCTACTGTGTAATGACAGATATTAACCTTTTATCCATAATCGTTGTCAAAATGCAACGTACCTCGTCGTCTATGATTTCCCGCGGACATGCGTGTCTATATACTGTGTACGCACTTCCTTCATCAATATTCATGAAAAGGCTGAATTCTTAATTGCAGATCTTGCTTAATTGTTATGTAATTACAACGACTTATTTAGTGAAACTTTGCGGAAAGTAATTAATTTTATTACACATCATGTTTCTCAAATCATTTAATCATTTTGTTTCACATAAAAAATCGCGTTTATATAGCGTGTATATCTTTAAAAATAGCAAAATCATTTTTTATGAAGTTTAAAAGATGAAAAACGCCAAAAATGTGTAAACCGAGCCTTCTTAAATGTATAATAAAATTCAAAACTTTTCTTGGAAATTAGCTGTCAAAATCAACCCACGGTTTTATACCAGCCAATATTTATTTTATTTACGGACAAGTTTAGGGAAAAGATGAGACAAAAATACCCAGTAATTTTCCTTTCAATGAAAGCTTAAGTGATATGTACAAGTACCTACCTCGGAATGTTAATGATATAGCGAGAACCAGTGCATGCTCTTCGGGGGTGAAATTGAATTCTTTCACCCTCTTGGAAAATTCGAACCAATTCCTGAATACCTCTATTGGTGTATACGCACATATTTCCGTAAAATGATGGGTCTGACCAGTGTATGTGATAATGACTTCCCGCTCAAAGTCGATAGACCGGTATTGCAGAATAACGAAAAACTCAAAACGGGATGCTGAAATAAAAATCAGAAATAAAAAAAAAATTAGGGATTATAAGAGCACACCTGATAATTGGCATCGTGTTTTATTGACAAACATAGCTCATTATTAGTTTTTTGTTCTATTTATTTTTTTTTTTTTAGATATTTAGTTTAATAATATCTAAAAAGCTCCTCTAAATGCCTACTTTAAAATGATGAAACGGTTTTTTTTTTCTCTACGAAAAAGAACAATTATTTAATTCATTAAAAACATCCAGAAAGGGTACCTTTTAAAAGCGTGGCCTGATCTTTGGGAGATAACGTCCGGAAGTCTGGAATTCCTTGCGTAAACTGTACATATTCCCTCACTATCCGGACCATATCACGGCGACCATCTTGGAGTAATTTCAGCCGCCCATCAACATCCATATTCGTTTTCTCATAGATCTCTCTGTATTCATCCGCTGGCAAGAAATTCATGTCACCAAAGAGTCTGGTCTTCTCTTTATATTTTTTCTGCAATTTTTTCCCAAACTCATTTTGGACTGGTATAACATGTAGTTGTATATTTTTAAAATTCAATTGCACATCTGAATCAATAATGCATAATTCTTAAATTAAAGGGTAAAATATGTGCAGTCAGGCCGAGTTCTTAGTAGTCTACGGCTCCTGTCGGAAACAGATAAAAATATGAAAACGCTCATACAAACATAAAACTAATCTAGGCAATGTTTTCTAAAGTTAATTGGGATTTTTCCCCAAGAGAAAATCCCACCCTTTGAAAAACTCGTATCCCATTTAACTGAGTAAAATCAATAAAACATGTATTTTGATTGTCTTTTACCATTGCAATTAATATTTATATTTGCTGCAGTTGATTCCAAAATGTTTACTGGACAATTTGTACTCGTAGTACATATACATATATTGTATTTTTGCAATTCTTTGTGTGATTATTCAATCTTAAATTTAGTTTAGAATGGGATAATTCGTGTAGTAAGAAACATCAGAGTTAATGTTGTATGAAACATCATGCCGCACAAAGAAGATTCCTTATTTCTTAAAAAAGCGTAGTTTCCCCAAACTTCCTTTAGAAAGTGCATGTGGATATAATCATGGTTGCATTAATCACTGGCTCATTAAAAAGTAAAAAAAAAAAATATCAACTTACAAATCCTTCTTCGAACAATTCTTCCAGCTCCTGGTCATTCAGCGTCGTTTCAAATGGTTTGAGGGCGTTGTATCCAACCATGATATTTTCCATCATCCGCTTTACCTCCTGCTGACTAGATGCGGGCGCGGATCCACACAACGTCTGTTCAACTGAGCTAGGTGTGATGGCATGCCTACTAACCTCCTCGGAAAAATCAATAATACAGGCAGTACCATCAACAACTACAGAACAGTTGGAAGGAACGGAGGAGCAAGAGGGGGATTTGTTGGAACCCGACAGGGAGAGGGAGCAATTCGGAGGAGTGAAAACTTCATCACTGCGGGGCACATCCGGAGAAAAGTTAAGGGAAGAATCTGAAGCATACGTGTGTTCGGAGGAAACTGGATGTCCATTGCTTGAATCTGACGATAAATTGTTCTGTCTGTTTTTCTGGTGTATAACACCATTTTCCTGTAGTTTCTTCACTTCCATTATGACGTTTGTTCGTTCTGCCACGGTATAGCGTCCTTGACGAATGCCTTAATAAAGTTACATAAATTTCAATGTCAATTCAGATACTTTCATTTTGTAAATTTCAATTGTTTTTACAATATGAAAGTATCGAAGCATTCGGAGTCATAACACACAATGACGCTATTAAAAAGTATTTAAAAACTCCTACCCTCTTTTGACATGCCAAGATCCAGGCATTTTTTGAGGCGACATGCTGAGCAGTTGAGGCCTTTCTGTTGCTCGTCTATTACACAGTCCCCTCCTTTGTCGCATTTATATGGAGTGGTTCGCTGAAGACATCGCCGAAAGAATGCCTGCAAATAATTATGAAAGTTGTCTTCATAGACAAGTACCCAATGTTTTTTGGGAAGGGGAAGAAGGCGGGGAATTTATAGGAACTGTAGATATTCTCAATAGATTTGTTAAACGTTTCTAATGATATACCATAAGAAGGCAAGGACGTCCATGTAGTTTACGTTTAACTGTTTCTGGTATTCATGTTTGGGAATAATATCAAGGAAATCTCACTTATTCTCTATGACCATACTATCTGAGACAAAAGCTAACATTTTATACTGACATAATTCTATGATTTCTAAAGTTACAAAAAAGTAAATTGATCCAATTGTACATAATACAGAACTGCGCAAAATAACCACTCCATACCTTGCAGGCCTCACAACTGTACACGCCAAAGTGAATCCCCGATGCTCTCTTACCACAAATGCGACAGAACGGTAGCTCTAGTGGCTCAGAAGACGGAATGTATTTTTCCCTCTTCCGACCCCTTCTTTTAACTCCCTCTTGGATTTCGATGCTTGTGGGAGGTTTTTCTGAATTCGTTGTTTCCATTATTTTCCTACATCACCATTAAACAGACAAAGGCGTAAGCCTATAATGTAAAATCAATATCAAGCCATTAAAGATAACGTAAAACTTCATTATTTTTTTTTAAAAGTCCTATTTCAATTCCTTTATGCATTTTTTTTTTACAAACACAATTTCACAATTTTTACGCGATGTCGAATTCACGAATTTATTACTTTTAACAAACGGGGGCATACCTGATCATGATAATTTAAAAACGAATTGTTTTCGATCATCTTCGCAAACCGCGGTCTAATGTAAGAAAGAGCTAAATGTGGACTTTGGATCGTGGCTTGAGACGACGATTTTCAATAAAAGGACTATAACTCTGTGAGAACAGAAACCACGCCCTCCAGGCTGATATTATCTGGCAACGGAAAATATTACTTGACAACGGGTAATATTATAAGAATTATCACTTACATGAAATGTACATGTATATTCACGTACGGTTCATCGAGTCTTTCTGTTCCCGAATCATTCGGGATAAGTAAGATAAACTCTACAACTATATTTCAAAACATCACCGAGTATGCTAAAAAATACTTGAACCTCGTGTTACACCTTTTTTAGTGTATACTACACAGGCACTTGTTTCGGTAATAAATTTTTAACCCATAGTATAATAATAACACAAGGTATCTAACTCCGAATTACACGGAGTACCCCCCTCCCCCAGAATCGCACTCATTTACACTTTCAGAGGAAATACACTGACAAACTGTTTATACCTATGTTTTCTACGATAATTTATCTACACAACCATATATGGCATGCTTGTCTTTATTTTCTTTAGTCTCCGTAAACAGCGTCAAAACTCTGCTCGTCGAGTGGAAAAGTCGAATTCAACCATGAAATGCTATATGTGCTAATCCCGCACAGAGAACAAAATTAAAAAATGAGTGGGTTTAAAAATTCAATTCCAGTGTTTAAAGTAAATAGAACTTGTTTACGTCTGATTTTCCCTGAAAACATTACGATGTTTATCCGATGTAATTTTAGAAACAGATTTTTAGCCAATCAAAATGTCTGTGCGGGATTAGCACATAGCATTTCATGGTTGAATTCGACTTTTCCACTCGACGAGCAGAGTTTTGACGCTGTTTACGGAGACTAAAGAAAATAAAGACAAGCATGCCATATATGGTTGTGTAGATAAATTATCGTAGAAAACATAGGTATAAACAGTTTGTCAGTGTATTTCCTCTGAAAGTGTAAATGAGTGCGATTCTGGGGGAGGGGGGTACTCCGTGTAATTCGGAGTTAGATACCTTGTGTTATTATTATACTATGGGTTAAAAATTTACTACCGAAACAAGTGCCTGTGGTATACTATAACAAATGAAGGTTAATTTTTTGAATCACTAACTTGTGCGTTAAGTTTGGTTTTCATCAATCGAAGTGTTACGATTAAAGTTTTAATCTTAACTTAAACTTATCTAGAAAAGATTTAAACTTTTCATGTAACAAATGTTCTCAAGTTCAAGTTCAATTTATTCACTCAAACCAATTAATGGTACATGAGGTTCTATGTACAATATATACAAAAACAATATACAAGATACACGTGAAATGGCGGAAATACATTCAAATTATAAAGTAACAAAAAGAAAAATAATAATCTATACTTATAAATTAATAAATTTTGCAAATAAACTACGAAACGGCTGCACCAGAGTTCATACTAACTCCTCTATGAATACACTAGATACAAGATGATGTCCGTAAACTATATTCAGATTTCACTCGCATAGTAAGTATCATATATTAAATTGAAAGTCTACTTTCATTTTCTATAAACAGCCATGAAATAGTAAAAAGGTGAGTAGGGTGGCGGTTCCGGTTGGCGGATCTAAGTTACTGGCAATTTTTAATGAAACTGAAAACAAGCAATCGTTTATTTATTTCATAAAACATCATCACTGAATTTTCAATCTAAACTTGATTTAATTGATATAAAAGAAATAAGTTGTGATTACCGATTAACAAGGGAAATTTGCAAATTATGTTCGTCATTCATCGATCTTAATATTGACGGAAACTTCTAGAACATCATATGGCGTCGAGCCCGATGTTAAAAAGAAAAAACGAGGTGATTATATAAAAAAAGCTTTTTGTGAATGGGTCATTGAAACAATGGTAAATCATTGATAACACTTGAGTTGTGAATTTATATATTTATATATCGAAAGACTACTAGTAGGTTTTTCCTAATAATTTATCGGTAAAATTTGTATATTCCTCACTGAGAGCATAGTGACAACGAACCGAAGTACAATTTGTAACTTCGTTATAAATTTTCTTACATGAAAAGAGAAAATTAATGAATAAGGTATTGTTCAAATACAATTAATTTTTTTCTGAATACAGTCGTTTGTATCAAATACTCGGCAAAGGGCGTTCAAAGCTAATGTTTACAAAACAAACAAAGAAAAGAAAAAGAATTTCAATTTATCATTAAAATGTGCATATTCGCTGCTTTTATCCTTGATGGAAAAGAAATAAGAGCACCTGAAGTACAATATCCATAACATAGTTTAACATGTTTCACAATAAACGTCAATTAATGAAATATTTTTACAGGGGGGGGGGGGGGCATACATCTACTTCTGCTCCAAAGCTAAATGCGGGATTTTGAACAAAGTGTATCTTCCTGCTATAAGCCTGTAAGCTGTCAGTAGAAACTATAATATATATTATTGGAATATTTCTGTCGGTAGTGGTATAAGTTCAATTTCCCGCGCTTGCGCGGGATTTCATCTAGTAATAATAATAATTATGGAGGACTGACTTGTTCATATACCCTATCTATGTAGCTGCATAGTTTGATTAATATCTTGGAGTCAGCAGTTGACAACAATTCTGAGAATTTGTAGAAATTTGGTCTATTACAATATTTACTAGGTAGATACTTTTTTCTGCATTCTGAGAAAAATTGACATTCTAAAATATAGTGATACTCATCTGCTATTTGTCCATTATTACAGATATTACAGAGTCTATCATTTTTGGGAATTCCAAACCATCTCCCAGTCTCAACTGGGAGACGATGATCTGCTGTTCTTAATTTAATTAAAATTGTTCTAAATTTTGTAGGTAGTAAGTCTAAATATTTTTCAAATCCAAATTCTGTTTTGAAGATACTATACATATGACCTTTAGAAGAATCGTGCATATCACTTTGCCATTTCTGTATGTACTGATCTTTAAGACGTTCAACTATAGTTTTTAGCCATTTTATATTTAAAAAGGCCTGTTCATTCCATATATTTGAGAAGCCACAAGTATCAAGTATATTCTTAATACATAAAATCCAAGGGTTCTTATGACTTCCTGAACAAAACTGTTCAAATAAATTCTTATATGTAACATAAACAATCTTATTTTCAGGGCTTACCAGTAATTTTGCCCAATGGGATATCATTCTTATATGTACACCGTTATATACAAAGGGAATCGACCCGTTTCGCCATAAAGCATATAACTAGGAGTACTACTTTTCAGATTAAAAATATATTTCAAAAATTTGAGATGAACGCGTTCAATTATTTCGATGTTCTCAAAACCCCATATCTCACATCCATACAGAAGTATTGGTGTGACAACTTTATCGAACAAATCGAGCTGGCAATCTACTGGTAAATTAAATTGTCTAATTTTTCGTATAACACCATACATGGCTTTTACAGCTTGCTCACATAAATGTTTTTTAGCCTTACAAAATGAACCGGATCGGGAAAATAGTATACCTAGGTATACCTAGGTATTTAAATTCGTTCACAATTTCAATAACAGAATTATTGTAGTAGAATACATTTTTTACAGATGGACCTTTCGAAAAAATTATAATTTTTGTTTTGTCTACATTGACATTCAGTTTCCATTGTAAACAATACGAATGAAACTCATTAAGAGCGTGTTGCAAACTCTCAGCAGACTCAGACATCATAACTGTATCGTCAGCATAGAACAAAATAAATAATTTAAAATACAGCCAAATTTGGTTTTCTACAGTGTTTGAACTGCTTGCATTAAAGGATAGCCCATGCTCAACAATATGGGAAACCATCGGTCAACCGACCATCCGGCCAACCAACCGACCATCCAAATGACCATCCAGCCAACCAAATGACCATCCAGCCAACCAACCGACCATCCAAATGACCATCCAGCCAACCAACCGACCATCCGGTCAACCAACCGACCAATCAAATGACCATCCAGCCAACCAACCGACCAACCAACGCCAACCAACCGACCATCCGACCAACCAAATGACCATCCAGTCGACCAACCGAAAAATACAAGGCAATTTTGTTCAAATATTTTGAAGTGGTAGGTGGGTTAGAGTAATAGTTTGAAAAGTGTATTAAATTATAAAAAATGTAATATAAGTGCAATAATCTCAGCGAGATTCGTAGGGACTAAAAATTTTGGTCTGGTGTCCCTACGGACAGGGAAACCTACGGACAGGGACACCAGACCAAAATTTTTAGTCCCTACAATTCTCGCTGAGATTATAAGTGCAATTCCATTGCGAAAAAAATTGAAAAGATAAGTAAATACAAGATATCCGTAATCATAGTAATAAAAATAAAATTTATGTACGACATATATGTGTACATATCAAACCTTCAATCAGTGCTTAATATCACTTTGCATAAAAAAGAATCACATCCCTTGATTCAATTCAGTTGATACATGTATATGCTGTTAAATTCCCCTTCTCCTCATTAGTCCTACAACTAGGTCCTTTAAAAGTCCTATAAGTAGGTCAGGTCGATATATAGAACTTACTTTCCTCTATGCCATTTTAATCGTTTTGGTTTAAAAAAAAACAGCTTCTATGTCAAAGTGTGAGAGCTAGATTGCTGTCGTGTAAACTAACATACCATTTAACTGGTTTCACACTTTTGTGAAAATTGTTACATACAGTGTATATTTTATGAAATGATTAATTGAACTTGTTTTTATTATTATTATTATTATTCATGTCATGCCTTGTTGACATGGTCAAGGTATGTCCGAATACTGAAATCCACCACAGGTCACCAGTGCACATGGGTTAAAAATGAGAACGACACCTTCATTATAAATAGTACAGACTGTAAATGCAGTGGTCCATATCACCTTTTGAAAGTTTTTATCCAAGAGCAAATAAGATAACTAGGCTATGTATGAAGTATTCATCGACTGGATTAAACTGTACCGATTTCTTTTCTCTATTCAAATGATAGTGGTACTCAATTAACCGAGGTCACAGTTTATCAGTTAGCTAGTGAATCTAAATTTCGAAATTCCTTGTTCAAAATCCAATTGAGTGAAATTAACTTTTTTACGAAGACACACAGCTAAGTATAGTACTAAGTGAGGCTACTTACCCAGTTAAATCACATAATTAGGTATAGGTATACCGTAAATTCACAGGAGAAGCACGCCCTTTGACACTCTCTAAAATGTAAACATCACAGGTAATTCAGGTTAACACAAAACGACAAATACTGGTACGAGTTATGAACGATATGGTTAGACTAATTACCGGTTACGAAATAATTCTGTAAAATATACAAGTAATAGCTTTTCAAAGAGCTTGCCTCCTGACTTAGTAGTTATTATCTAAGCACGACGAGAAAAAATGTTTCCGTTCATTTTTTTGATTTTTTTTTGGGGGGGTGGGGGGGGTGGGGGGGGTTCCATAATATTCCATCACCTTACATTTTTAAGACTTTATACAAAGGATGATGTGACATAACTGCTATCTGGGGCCCCTTTTTCTACGACGAATTATATTTAATCTACAACTATTTTGATAGTTTTCATTCATGAGTGAATAAATACGACGCCTTTTCAATAGTTTCAATAGTTCCGACAAATTTTAATTATAAGGATTACTGCATTATCTATGATTTTTTTTACCCTATGAAGGCAAAATTCGGCCTGGTTTGTGACAATACGTTCTTTTATGAAAAGAGAATAGGCGGGTCTTAGTACAATTCAATTCAATTTATTGACAACACCATCATACATTGGCATATAGTCATGAATAAAATAAACAATAACATACATAAAATCAATAAAATTATTCCAGTAAGCATATCAGTTATGTTGAAGTTTTTTCTTTTCTAATATTAAAGCATTTTTTTTCAGAAAGTTACATACTCTTCTAGCAATTTTAATACTTGGAGGGTTGATAATGTCAATAATAGGGTTTTCCTTCATGTAACATTGAGCATTAAATATATCAAAATATTGTAATCTATACAGATCATAACTAGGACAATAAAGTATAAAATGTTTTTCATTTTCAATAAAAAGTTTACAAGCATGACATACACGTTTTTCTCTAGGAATAGGTGGCCTTGAGTATCTCCCTATTTCAATATGTAGTGTATGAGCACTAATTCTTAGTTTTGTTAGGATTGTTCTTTCAGATTTCTTCAATGGTAATTGTAGGTAGTTCTGTAATTTATATTCATTTAAATTTATTATATTACTATAAAAAGTTAATTTTCCAGAATCTGATTTAGAAATGTTCTTTAACTGTTCACAGATTTTGTTCCTATAGTGCTCCTCTAATTTATGTCTTAAAATTTTATGTGGTATGTCCAATAAGGATAAAGACAATTTCTGTTGAAGAGTAAAAAGTTTTCTTTGCCAAGATATTCTAGACCCAAATGTTTTATCTTCCTTAAATGCAGACACCACTAATTGGTTCTGATGCTCATTCTCTGACTCTAAATTTTTCAGTCTTGAATAAAATTTAAACATATTTTCATAACCTGAATAAAATAGTGGGAACTGTCCCAACTCGTATAGAACAGCAATATTAGATGATTTTCTATGAACACCCAGAATGTCTTTAAATATCTGGAGTTGTATTTTTTCAAATGGGAAATGATCTGAGGATAATAAATCACATTTGCAATAGAGGGATATGCATGTTTGAGGTATCTACCTTATATGGCTACTGTTATTATTTCGCACATAGTCGCTTACTGAGAACAGTTGTCAAATCCGATGACAGAACGACAAAACATGCTGGTTTACTACATGTTTACATATTATCACAGGCACGTGGTTTAGGTCAATTTACACAATATCTCTGCTACATTTCAAACCTTTAATGGTCAGCCAAGGCTGTTTATACATAATAATACGCATGGAACCGCAGTGTTTACCGTTTAGGTCAAGAAATGCACATGAAACTTCTATTCACCGATTCTCGGGAATACGTGTAGACCTATAGCGAATTGCCCACCGAACGCTTTACAAAACTTTTACTATGTATATTTATAAATCAATTGTTTGTAAATATGAGCTGGGAAATTGTAGATCCGTGTCTAATCTGTGACTCAAATGCATAAAAAATGTTTATCGGAAAGCAGGTTAAAAAAAAAACAATCTTTTTTCCAAGCATAAAATGTCCTTAGTATTTTTGTGGTACTCACTAGTTATGCAACTCATTTAGCTGATTGGTCAGTTAGAAAGTATCGCTAGTGCCTCGATTAGCATATGAATTTATTCTTACGTCAGAAATAATAGTTTCGTCGATCTGTTCATAATGGGAAAGGCCAGTTAGATTTTACAATTTTTTTTAAAAACAACACGTGAACGCAGTTAGGTACATTTTTCTCCTTTCACATATAGGTAGATTTCAATAAAAGACAGTGACCAGGCAAAGGAGAAAAATGTACCTACTTGCACTCGTATATTTTAAGGGCTTCAAAGAGTGAGGCGGGGCCAAAATTCAATGGGAATTGGTACCCCTACTCAAAATAAAGACATATATCTTCCAAATCATATTTCTATTTTCGATACAAGTAGTATTGTATGAGGGTATACATATCAGTGATTAAGTGCATGCAAAAATTAGAGTAAAATTTAGATATATTTTAATTTTTTGCAAATTTACCGGGGGCCGTATGTCACATCATCCTTTAACATCATGATCTTTTTTTATTTTAACTTCTTTCGAACTCATCAGTAGAATGGAAACTTATTGAAAAATGAACATTTAGGTAAAGATATTTATAGTATCTCGTCAATAACAGGGAAACAAGTGGAATGAAGTTAATATACATGGCCGTAGAAACCGGGGGGGGGGGGGAGGGACGAGGGGCCGTGCCCCCCCCCCAATAATTTTGCCGATATATAGATAACTATAGAAAATATAGATACTATATGCCTGTGCCCCCTCAATAAAAACGTCTGATTACATTGTTTTTTTTTTTCGCTTGTCAAGAAATTTTTGGTAGTAAATAGTGCACCCTCGTCTGAAAATGTATGCCCGTGCCACCCCCCCCCCCCCAACTGAAATTGCTTCCTACGGGCCTGATATATGACATGATATTGGAAGATTCTTTAAATTAGTTATAATGAAGTAAGTAAGGAAAAAATTAATGTGATTGATTTGTGCTCGGAAGCTGTAGCTGTGTAAAGGTTACATGAATTAATTTCAAATGCATAGGAGATCGGAAATGCCAATAGAGTCGACAGAACATATGATAGCTACTCGTAATACCGATTGAAATGATTTTAAATGAATATCTGTATGGAGACTGAAATGTTGCGTGCACTTTCATGTATAATTATTTTACTGACTATATTTATCTCAAAATTTTGAAGACAAATAACATTTTTTTAATAAACTTGATATAACAGGCCTATGGCAAGTTTTTCGGGGGGGGGGGGGGAGGGGGGACCTCGCCCCCAAAAATTTGACAAGCCAATACAAAAAAGTAAACTGCCCAAACTCGAAAATCTTCTTTCATAGTGTGTGTGTGTGGGGGGGGGGGGGGGGGTTCTATAACTGTATAGTAACTTCTCAGCACATTTATTAATGCTGAAATGTGCCTGTGTTCAACCGTAGAGCAACGAAAAGTGGGAGAAACGCTGAAAAATTGTTACACGGACATGTCCGTATATGGAAGCGCAAAGAATAAACAGGTGCATGCAAGAAAAATGAGAGAAGTAAACACATCAATATTTTGCTTCAGTAATATGATTCTTTCTTCTGCAAGCTGTTTTTGTTAAAAATACAGGTGACAAATTCCGATGTATATCAGCTTGCACAAAATCTAGCTCACTAAGTATGATCTTCTTAGTTTCGGACCATGGAAATATTGATCCTTATACTGCCTGACGCTCGTGGCGCCAGGCAATAATTATGTCCACAGGAGTCGGCCTTTTTATCAATAAACGAGAAATAAAGTCAAAATAAGTAAAAACCTAGCCATGAGCTTCGCTCACGAAGTGAGCAACTCCTGTGATATGTCTTGTTTACTGGCTTAAACACAATTATAAATTTCAAGAAGCCCTAAAGTTGGTCAATATTATACAATTATTGCTGGTTTTGAAGTCAATATGATTATTTAGACATCTCATGATCAGAAGTACAATATTCACCGAGCCCGAGGGCGAGGTGAATATTGTACTTCCAACGTAGCAAATTCTTTAAGCAATCCATTCCATTTGGAATTTTTAATTCTATTTTAGGTGCAATGTAGAAAAAACTAGTATTAATTGTAACGGGGACCGTTACAGATGTTCCCCAAACGCTCCCCAACTCCCTTTTGGTGTCTTATTTCTTGTAAGCTTCATTAAATAAGGCAATTAAGTATATTGGTCATTTAACGCATTTCACGCGCGCGCACGTGCATGCATGTGCAGGTTGACAATGTCATTCCGTCTATACTATAAATGCATCTTTATATTCTCAGTATCAAAACATTTCATCAAAAAATATATAAGTTCCGGCTATATCAAGTATATTGGTCATCTTAGCATTGCGCGCATGCGCACCTGTATGTTCATAATGACCATGCCATTTTGTCTACACTTATAATATGTCTGTTTGTTCTTAGTATCAAAGCTTTTCATCAAAAAATATAAAAGTTACGGCTATATTAAGTATATTGGTCATGAAACACATTGCACGCGCGCGCATGTGCATGCATGTGCATGATGGCCACATCATCTTGTCTACACTTTTAATATATCTGTATATTTTTAATATCAAAGCTTTTCATCAAAAAATATAAAAAGTACGGCTATATTAAGTAAATTGGTCATTTAACACATTGCACGCGCGCGCACGTGCATGCATATGCATGCATGTGCATGATGATCATGTCGTCTTGTCTACACTTTAAATACATATAAATATTTTGAGTATCAAAGCATTTCATCAAAAAGTTTCAAAGTTACAAGTATATCAAGTAAATTGGTCATTTTACGCTTTGCGCGTGCGCGCACGTGCATGCATGTGCATGTTGACCATGTCATCTTGTTCATACTTTTAATATATCCTTATATTCTGAGTATCAAAGCATTTTATCAAAAAATTTAAAAGTTACAGCTATTTCAAGTATATTGGTCATTTTACGCATTGCACGCGCACGCACGTGCTTGCGCGTACGCGCAAAATGACCTTCGTTCCGCAAATCTACATAACATGCCTAGTAACCCTAAAAAGGTTTCACCTCA